TACCCAGAGGACATTACAGCTCTACACCATTCAGTCTAATTTTTACTGAGAAGTAGAGAAAAGTGAGTGGTAGAGGCAAAGTCCCAGGGATTAGCTTAGTGAAGTCTCTTTAATAACAGCCTGTTTCTGCACAGAAAAATTACTGGGTTTTTTAAATGAAAATCAGTGTTCCCATGCTATAGGAAATAGTGATTAATCATTCCCTATTCCTTTTCTCTGCATTATTCATGACTTTGCGACCTCTTCTCTATCCTCTCCCATGGTGTTCCAATCTCACCCTGAGTTTTCTCGGGGTTTGGGAACTTCTGTATCAGATAAACTGTATTATGAGGTAGTCTTTGAGGAACAAATCTGACTTAAATCTCACATAATATCCAAGAATGTTCTCTGGTATTTGACCTCTCTGTGGATGAAACAATACTCTACAGACACAATAACCCTGGTGTTTCAAAGTTGTAACCAGCACCTGTGGAGTTTTCAAACAAACAGGCTCAGGGTTCCTTGGTGTACTCTTCCTCACTGCTCCCACGTTTGATTGCTTTGTAATTACACGTGTAAAACCTGTGATGGGATTACACGTGGGGGAAAAAAATAATTTAAAAAATCACATTTCAGAATAGGAGGGGATTTATGGGAGCTGCAAGACAAAGAAAAACCCACCTTTCTTTCTTTCTTCATTGTTGTCTTTGGAAGGCAGCCACTGAAGTTTCCTTGTCAGTATTACAGGGATTTGTAAATAGAACAAAGAGCTTCCTCACACCAAGGCACATTATATAACCCCAGCGCCGTCACCGTGTGTCTTCGCAGGCAGTTCCCTTGAACTTTGCATCTCGCTCCTCCTGAGAACAGTCCTGCATGCCAGCTTGAACAGATGTGGTTTCCTTTAGGAAAGGATTTCTGTTAGGGTCATTCTGACTTCCCTTTCAGAGCTTTTCAGCCTCATGTGCTCTTTGCTCAAGGGATTACTGCGGTGGACACTAGCTCCATGTGCTACTGTTAAGCCTCTCCTCACCTGCTGGCTAAGCTGAATGAGTGCCCAAAATCTCTGTTCCACAGAAAAATCTGACATTTCATGTTTTCCTGAATCAAACCGGAAAGTTGCAATTTCCTGTGAACCCAAATTCTGAGAAACATCATTTCAGAAAGAGCTAAATGGCCTCAGTGCAGCCTTTTGTTGGGTGTTATCAACAGGTTTTTATGAGACCTTAACTAGCGTGAAACACATGTTCCAAGTGATCCCAAATGTAACCAGGCAGCAGCCACTGCTCCCAAAGACACCTAGGGAGCCGTGGGGTCTGACGAGGGTGCTTTGCCAGAGAGATGTGACACAAAGCCAGATGCGGTTTTGTCTCACTCCATGTATTTATTCCAGTATTGTCACTGCTTCAATTCCACCAGTGCACTTATATACTTCAAGTTTACAAGTATTTTCATTCTTATTTTCCAGCCTTGTTGAAAGCAAAGGATTTTATCATATCTCAATAGCTTGTACAACCCCAGCATGATGTTTCCAATATATCCAGTGCATATTCAATTACACTAATTTAAAAGAGGGCAGCTTTATGGAGTTTTAACTAAATCAGGGCATAAGGCTGTGCAGACCTTCTGAGTATCAATAGAGCTGTTTTTTCAGCTCTAGTTGGTTAGAAGAGTTTTTTTAAATGAACAAGGATAAGACATTCTACAGATAACGTAGATCATCAAATGCAAAAGTTCACACTGATTGAACTAAGGTGGTATAAGCTTGTGTGAAGGCAACTTTGAAGCTGCAACAACATAGTGGGAAAAGCAGCCCTACCCTGTGAGTAAGTGAGAAAAACCAAACAAAACAATGGAGGAGAGGCTGCTGCTACCTGGCCTTCATGGAAAAAGAAGTTTATTAAAAAAAAAAAAAAGTACCTCAAGACCAAAATCTCATCAGACTCAAAATCAGTGTAAGTGCCACATTGCAACAGTTTGCAGGTCTAATAGACACAAAGCTGTTCCTTCACCCGAAAGCTAAACATAAAAGTCACGGAAACCCATCATGCCAATTCTGTGGCTGCTTTCCGGAGCAGAATCTCTTTAAATGTCAGTGTTTCCTTTGTTCTGTGCACCCTTTATAATGAGTCTATCATCTGTTTGGTAAAAGATCCAGTGAAATATGTAATAAGGTTATCTCACCATCTCTATTGTAAAGCCGTATCTCCTCCTCCACTCATTAATTATTTTCTTCCATTTCCTGTGTCAGATCTGAATCAGAAAAAAAGGACTCAAGACTTACCAGCTTAGCAACTTACCATATATCAGCTGAGCTGTGGTAACTCTCCATGAGATCCCTCTTAGCCTCTAATAAACAAAGCCAGTGTGACTTTGTTGTACAGAGGCCTGCAGTCTATGCAATTTGGCTTAACCTCCTTTTATTGCCAGCTGAGCTTATGGTGATAATGGCCATGGCTCTGCTTATATTCAGTCCTCATATTGCAAGATTTGCCTTTAAATACTGGGAGCAGAGCTCTACCAATATAACTATCTATCTGGAAAGCTATGATGATTTATGTGCTGTCAACATAAACTAAAAAAAAAAAAAAAAGAAAGAAAAAAAGAGGATGAAAAAGCAGCACAATTATGTGGTTATCAGCCAATGCCCCTTGGTTTGCAGTTTCTCAAGCATGAACTACTCAAAATTTGGATCAAGAAGTGAAGCAATATGTTTCGGAAGTGCAAACAGGGAAAAGTTATATGAGTTTTCTAGCAATTTCAGGCAAATATATCACAGAAGCAGCATGCTTAGCCTTTTTACTGTGCATCTGTCTGAGGTTTCCAGTAAGATTTCCCTGACATATAGTAAGAGTCAAAACTCTAATCTCTTTTAGCTCTTTTTTATTGTCTCCGCAGCACTAACTTTGAAAAATGGCCTTGTCCCCAAAGAACTGCACACAGTCCACGTAGGGAAGCTGTTAAAATAAATGCATTACATAAAAATATTGCAGACGAACTCAGCTCTGAGGGTTTTGGAGCTACAACATACAGATATAAACCAGAGCAGCTAAAGTATGAATGGAGGTCATACTCCAGGAGAGAAGAAGGGAAGTCCCCTGTCTGGCAGTTGTTGCACATGATCTCTGATATCAACAACTCCTACTCTTCTTTCTCAGGTCTGCAGTGTTTTAATAAATTACTATTCTCATGTTAATGTCCTTCTGCCTTCCTCCTCACTGACCTCAATACACATCATGCTGATTTATAAAGTTTCTTCTTTCACTGGATTTGAGTTCTTCCTGGAGACCTTATTTACGCTGTTCTGCCTGTGAGACATCTGGCTGATTTATAGAGACTAAGACACAGTCGAGCACTGTGTTGGCCGCCCTACTGAATATTGTATTTCCTACACACTGTGTTCCTATCTCTGCCCATGTCCGTGTCTGATTTTTGATAGTCTGTATGTTGTTCAAAGAAGAGAGTGAACTTTCTGCCTCTCAGAAAAGCTTCTGAGATCCTCAGGAGTAAAAATGTGCTTTTCCACCTGTATTCCTTGCAAAACAGCAATATCTGTCTAGACACTGATTGGGGAAATTCAGACAAGGAATAATGTGCAAATGAGAACATGATTCAAGAGTGGGAAAAAACAGACAAATACCAGGTGCCTCAAAGGCTGAATCACAAATGACGGTGAAAAAATCTAAGAATGCAAGAGATTATGGAGGAGCTTGACTTGGCATTTGCCTGTTTATTCCAACAGGATATGCAGATTCCACCCTCATGACATCACTGCATCAACTTGCCTCATCAGTGCCTGGTGACAGAACCCCTGTCTGTAGCACTGAGTCAGCATCACTATGTGATCTCCTCTTGCCCATGCAAGATGGGGTGAAAGGCTGTCCATAATGGTAGAAAGCAATAACTGACCTCTAAACAGGTCCTCAAGGGATTCAAAAACTCATGGACGTCACATAGACGCTCCTCCCAGGAAAAAACATGGCCTCAGAAAAATTTACTGTAAAGTGACACAGTGGTGTGCTAACGAGGAGCTCCCACAGCAGATGGAACAATAACTGTGTGTTGAAATGAAGGACCAGGGAACACCTTCACTTAGTTCCTGGAGCTCCAAAAGAAGCTGCAAAGTTTTTCCCTATAACATTTTCCCTATAACCAAGAGGTATTGCTGATTCTGCCTGCTGTGCTCTTCTAGAAGCCCAGACTAACACAACATTTCTTAAAGCATCCCGGGACATGCTTGAGGGTTGGATGGGGCCCTGTGCAATCTGGTCTAGTGGGTGGCACCCTTGCCCCTGGGAGTGCTTTGGACCTAGATGAACTTTAAGGTCCCTTAGAACTCAAACCATTCCATGATCCTAAGTAAACATCACACACATGGAGTACTAACCCTCCGCTCCTCAAAGCAAACTAAAGCTGTTTCCTATTCTGGAGAAAAAAAAAACAAATGGAAAGAATCTAAAATATAAAACATACATGAGTTGACTGGCAAGAGACAATGTAAAGAGAAACTATGTTAGAAGAGATCCAGCCACGCAGAAACTAAAATACTGGGCCACTACCCCCAGTCTGGTCCTAAACAGTTCCTGTCTCCAAACACAACCATGAAAACATCCATGCTGCACCTCAGTGTGTCATTCTGTAGAACAGGGCAAGGCGGAAGAGCTCTTCCTGGAAAACCAGGTCCAGAGGCCAGGAGGCTCTTGCTGTATTTACACATACTAGTCCCTTTTGTTGGGCGATTTAGGTCACAAGAGCGTAGGAAAGGCAGCTCTGAATCACCTGGCTCTTGCACGTGTTGCTTGCACGTTGTGCAAAAGTTTCTGAACTCAACCTCCTTTCCAGACACACCCTTTGTTTGTTACTTTCTCTTAGGGCTTTTTCGCAACCCCATCCACTGCCAATACAAACAACATTGCAACATCTTCCCCCAATCTGTCTTCCTCTGCTCTGCTCTAAATGTCAACCAGCCACATAGCACTGCTCATGCTCACTTGCTTAATTGGGCAAAATACCTGCCGTGGCAGCCCTGTGCCTTGACTGCCTTCGGGAGAAAGTTTCTTGGGAATGGTAAGTGACAGAACCTGCAAGTTGGTCTTAGTCACATTGATACCAGATACCAAGAGTCTTGCGCAGGTAGGACACGCAGTTCGCTTTGCTGAGCAGCCATCAAGCATCTGTAAGGCATCAGGGGAGGTTAAGAAGAGTAATTATCAGTGATCACGCTGGCTACTAGAAGTTGTTTCTGCAATTGCGGTGCTTTGTACTTCACTGCAGGGTGTACCCTGTGCATCGAGGGCAGGGGAGAGAAGGTTCTGCCATTTGAATGGCATTTATCAGCTTGTGTGAAACAAGTTGTGGGACCTGGTTTCATTCCTAATAATTGGGATAACTAGAGTAGATACCTTCCCACCAAAGAGACACCACAATAAATGCTCTGTGAGTACTGTTTGTAGGCAGGTGGGAAGCACAGCCATCTTGAAGACCCTCTCAACTCCCAAATCTTTGCCACACTAGAAAGTAGATGTATAATGCACTGAATAGAGGATATCTAGCAAGCCTAGGAAAATGGAGGGCACCTGGTGCCTACACTCAGCCCCTCCACACAGCCATTACAGCTGAGAGATCAGAACAGCTGCCCCAGCACTCCCCACATACAACGTGAAGTATATGTTTGCCTCTGTCCGCGTTTTTGGCATGGCCTCCTGCTTGCTCAGATAGAGCTGTTCTGTGCGTGGGATGGGACAACATCCTGTTATCCTCCTACCTGATGGGTGCACTCGGTGTGCTGGACTGTCATTAGCCTCCCGAGCCCCTGCCCAGCCTGGCACACCAGCAGCCAGGCTGTGGGCGGTGCTGCTCACCAGCTGGAGGCGGCTGCTTTTATCAGCAACCTTGATCAGGGGGATTTTCTCTTATTTCATTCTCAAGCTTCCTTCAGCCTCGGATTTGCATAAGATCTTGGGTTAGGACTAATCTGATCCCAGGTTGAGAACATTGCATCAGGCCCAGTGAATCCTCCATCCCAAACTGTGTCTTGACAGGATTGGCATTGTACTGGCATTGGAAAATAGAACCATGCAGGGACAAACGGTGGCTTGAATTTTCCTTAGTAATAGGAGGTGTCTTACTTTGTGTATCATTTAAACTCCTGTGCTATGTGGCAACTCCCAGTCAAGTCTCTATTTGTTTACAGCCCTTGTAGCCAGGTGCTTTCCATGTTCACTCCAGGTTGCTGAAACGAGAAGCATGTCCAGCCTCCAGGGCTTGCCAGCAGCTATTGACTAATAAGAGCACATTGTCCTTGGTGACAGAAGGGAGCACCTTGCTTTATCTATGCATTCCCTGGCAAGCAGCAGCGTGGAGAAAGAGACATGCCTCACTGCATATTTAAGAGTACAAATTCAAGTCTTTGGTCATAGTGATGGATGTAAATAAGTATGTGGTCATTCAGATTGAGGAGTTAAAGATAACAGGTTGCAATTGTGGCAATGACACCTCCTAAAGGGTTGTTCACTGTGGATATGTGTCTGATTGGCTTTTCTAGGTCCTAGTCCCACTGGATTAAATCCATGAACATGCTTGTGGAAGTGGGGGTTTTTCTTAAGGTTTTTGCTGGGTAAAGTGACAGAGCAGAGGCTTAGCAGTGCTAGGTGTCTGTTATAGCAACCTCCATCTGTCCTGTTTACTTTTCCATAACCACTTTGTGGCCAAGAAGATGGCCCAAGCTCTTGCTGCCAGATTCACTTGCTTCAAGAGCAATTTGGCATCCTGACCTGGAGCTGGTTTTTATAAAATATAGGCACAGGCACGTACTACTGCAGGATGCAATATGAACATGAGGTTGTGAATGACACTGGGATACAGGCTGTCCCATTGCCCCCAATCCTTCAAGACAGTGCTGACCTACTGTAATACATCAATTAGCTCGCTGCAATATAAAAAGATATACTTCCTGCTAAAAATGGTGTGCTCCACTTGCCAACTAAATGCAATCTAGATCTGTCTCTGTCTCTGTCATTTCAGTATCCAGCACCTGGCAAGCCAAATCCTTACAAGCTCTGAAACTGAAGACAGAAAAATGACCAGTGGAATAGTGCTGATTGGTCAGAGGTGCTTGTATGTGCAAAGAAATCAGCTCTCCAGTCCATGAGCCATCCTCCAGCTCAGAACCGCTACAAACGGGTACGTCCTTGGCAGTTCAATCACTGTTGTACCATCGGCTGGAAATGTCATTATTTCTGACATTAGAGTTTACACAAACTCAGCCCAGATGTCACACCATGGAACTAAATGTGCAGTTGTAGTGATGGGCAGAAAATCCAGTGCTTTGTTTTATTTGAGCAATGCTCAAAAGAGAAGAGATCCCACTTAGAGCATCCAAAAAGTAAAATATGCTGTACTTTGCCCACTTACAAGCAACACAGTGGCTCTACCTCATGCCAGAATGTCTGTTCCCTAACACCATGTTTATTGGAATGATAGGAAAAGAGAAAAAAATTTGCAATTTTTTAAAACTCTATCTTTTACTCTAAAGTCCAGAAGTTTTCTCATCCTGGTAGGAGCTTTCCCACCTTGGTACTGAGATTAGCTTTCTGTACATGTTTTCAGTAGGCATTTTACTCCATTGAGAAATTTTCTATCTGATTTGGGGATGTTTTGTCCTGGTGATAATGTTGGGTCATGCCAAACCTCCACGTGAACATCTCATCTACACAGCTGCAGCCCCACCTTCCTCTGAAGAAACACTGAGAGCGTTCCTCCCCCTCACAGACAAAAAGAGTGATCTCTTTGCCCAGAACAACAGAGGCTTTCCTGGTAGCAAATACCTATCCATATAGTCACCCAAAGGAGAAGACATGTTGGTGACAAGTCTTTTCCTTTTCTTTGTTCTTTCCATGAGGAAAGGCACTGATTCCTACCCAGATTCTGTTTGGTGGGGTTTTTTGTTTGTTTGTTTTCTTTTTCTTTTTTGTTTTATGAAAAGGCATCACCGTGTACAGGGTGTTAAACTGCTACTGAACCCAGATGATGGTGGGAGGATGGCATTTTGCTGTTCCTTCTCCTGCAAAGCTACCCCATGAAGTTGTGCCCTTCATTGTTGGCCTTACATTGCACCGTGCCTTTGCAGAGTTGTGTACACTGAGCTGGCTCAGGCAGCTGGACTGCCCCACACTGCACACTCATGTACCCTGAGCAAATAAAGTAATTGAAGAAAAGAGTTTGACAGTTTGACAGCTGTAGTGAGATGACTGTATACGGTGATAAATGAATAAAAAATGAGTGCCTTCCCTCTGAAAATCAGGCTAATAGTAATTAAACTTTTCTAAACCCCATTTATGAAGTCTGCATTCAGGTAAACTAAATCCTAGAGATTTTTCTCTTGGCATAAGACAGAGTCCCATCTCTCAGTCCTTACTTCAGACTCCTAGATGCCAACCTTCCTTCTCCATGAGGGCAAAAAGACAACTTGGTCTAGAAAGTATTGTTGGTGTTTACATTTTATTGAACCACTAGACATTGCTATTGGCCACAACATGACACCAGTGCAGCAAAGAGAGCCTTTCATTTGCCTGTGCTTGGCAAAAAGTGTCGTTCTTTAGTTGCTCAGCCGAAGCTGACAAGTTGCCCAGTATTTTTATTATCGGGTTGTCAGCTCAATCTCACTACTGCCCTCTTAATTTATTATTTTGCATTTCAAAATCACAGGTGTGACTCATTGCACAGCCAGAGGTTATAATGAAGTATCCCACTCATCTTTTAGCTCACCCTTTGTTCAAGACAATGCAGATTGCGGAAGGTTTCTGAGGAGGTAAGAGGATTGCAAAAGAAACGAAGACTCCTCTTTTATCTAACCTATGTGTGGGCAGTGAAACTGCCTGATATGAAACCAGTTGGGTGCAAAGGTGGGCATGGATGTTCGTTTGTCATTATGTTGAGGGTTGTAACTCAGAGGATACAGCGGCTGTCATTGAAGATAGGCACCCAAACTTTAATCACCTCACCCTGAGGATGAGTCCAAAGAGAAAATCCTAGGATAGCATGCTTCTCCCAAGATTTTCCCTATGCTTTAGTTTCCAACAGGACAGAAGATGAAAACCAAGCAGGCAGTTTTTCAATTAAAAATTCTTATTCTCTACATCTTATGATTTAAATTTGGAAGTGACTCTAAGTGCAAGATTTTGAGGTATTTGTTCTGCTAGCATTGTGCAAATAAGAATTGTGTTGCATTAGAGTTTTTGAAATATACATATGTGTTTCTTAGCATGAAGTGATGCATCATCCATGTTTCTCCTAGGAGTATCTGAGATAAGTTGCTAGGAAGAAGGAGCACAGTTCTACTGGAAAGAGTGTCTTGCTGCTGACTATGAAAATGATGTGGAAATCATGGACTGAATTAAAGATTTTTTGATATTGGTATATTGATGGAAAGCTTCCTGGTATCAACAGCTCATGTGAAGTAGAGGAAGGGATTCCTTCATCCCAGAAGAAATGTGTCCAAATCTGGAGCTTTTCTGAATCAATTTGGTCTTTTAGTTGACTTCTACACAAGTCTGGCCCTGGAGCAGAGGTACTAAGTTCATGTTACATTAAAGCAAACCACATAAACTTGAGAGGATATAAAAACAATTTGTTCCTAACAGAAGGAGCTTCCAGAGCCACCCAACCCAGTGTCCTGGCAACTCTTGTCTCCCTCCCTAGGGGAAAGATGCATGTCCTGTGTCCAGTCTGAGTACCCTGGAGCAGTGACAGTCGGGGCAGAGCTATTGGGGTATCTGGGTTTTTTTAAAGCTGCAGCCTGGAGCTCTGGCGATGCCAAAAGTGTACCTGGTCCACTCTGTCTCTCTGCTGGGGAAGGAACTGTGACTCAAAGGCAGTCCACTGGCAACAGAGAAAAGTACACCAAGAGCACTTGTTCAGCTCTGCCATATCCAGTTTCTGTCAAGTATAGAATAATAGCTACCCAGCGAGCTGGGACATGCTTTACCAGCATCAATAGAGTTGTGCTTCAGAGCATCCCTCGAGGTAGCAAAGAATTATCCCTATTTTATAAATGAGGTAACTCAGGCACAGGGATTAAAGCCAAAATGTTCCAAACTGGCTGCCTACTGCTAGGTACATACACCCATATTTACGCAACTCGTGGCCTGATTTTCAGAAGGGCAGGGCAATGAAAATTTTGGCCTGAGGGATTTGTTCACACACAGTTTACTGGTAACAACGCCTGGGATGGAAGCCTGGTCTCTGCTACCTGTCTTACACCTTAACCACTAAAAACATCCTTTCTAATACTACCCAACAGCTGGTGAAGGTTTCTGAGTGTCCCCATTCACCATGCAGAGGCTCAGAGTGAGCAGTGCAGGCTGGCTGCCTACATGCTCACACATTTAAAGAGCAACAACAGGAGTAAAACTGGTAAGATTTCTTTACCTCCCTCTCAGCTCTTCAGAGCCCAGGCAGCTTTACTTGACTTGCAGTGCTTTGCTAAACCAGCAAGTCTGGTGTGCAAACCTCTGTTCTGCCTCACACGTAGCATCCTCCTCCCCTCCTCCCCCCGTGCCACATCCTTCTCAAGGCACCTCAAGTGGCAGAGCACAGGTCCAGTGCAGAACCAGTAACAGACCAGCAGGAGAAAGGAGAAAATCAGCCACATGGTTATCTGAACTGCTCAAAAGCACAAACACCAACAGGAGTCAGTTAATCCCAGTGTCCCTTCACCTCTCTCCTGTGCTTTCTTTTTGGTCTTTAAATGAACTTCAGAATGTGCTCTGATTTATGGGAAACTCCAGAGAAGCAAGGAAATTTAGTAAAAAACTTCCTCCCATGCTAACAACTAGCAAAACACGGGAGGCAGAGCAGTTACTGGATGGCTACAATAGAGCTTTGCAAGTGTCCCTGCTAAAATAATCCCTGCTAGGGGCTAATGTGATGCTTGTCTTAGCTCGTTAGAGAGCCTTGCTGTCTTGTGATATGTTCTTGAAAAATAACACTGGTGGTTGGTTGCTACCTGAGGGAAGGAGGACAAAGGGTCTCGGCTGTCTCTGTGGAATGGTCACTGGTCGGGTCACCTCAAGCCTAACCTGAAATGCCAAGTGCATGCTGCAAATCCATTGTTGTCAGCCCTGTGCCTTGTCTCATCTGCTATAGAGTCCTAGCCACCTCTGACCTCTTCTTTCCCTTCCTTCAGGCCATGTCCTGCTCACAAGGTTCCTGCTCAGCTGCTCTGTAGCATCCCCCCACCCAGAGGGAAGACAGGCGAGAGGAGGTGACAACCTTCAGCAAAGGTTAAGGCTGGAAAAGAAGGAAGTGTCAGCTCAATCAGGTCAGCTCAGCCAACCAACTGCTGCTGTAATCCCTCTGCCTCAGGTTCCTGCACTGCTCTGCTTCTGCACTGGTGTGGGCAGCAACCTTCACCCTGTCCCCATGGTACTGTCAGCCTGCATCATCTAGACAGGGAGATAGGGAAAAGGGGTAAGGAAGAAGTAGTTGAGCACGAGAATCTCCCAGAACTGTTTCCATATCTTCATTTTTTTCAGTACATGTTGGGAATATGGACTTTGAGATAGACTTTACTCCCACTGAAGTTCAGCAGTCCAGACTTGGCACCCCCCAGTTTCTTCAGAAGAAGGCTGAGAGCCAGATCTGAATCAATTCTTATGCTGCAGCTCACCTCCACAGCAAAGCCAGAAGTTTTGAGAAGTAGGTAGTGAAATGGCCCCAGTTCCTTCAGCCCAGGTCTCAGGTGCCTCTTTTGTGATGGAAGCAACTGAATCTCACCAATCTGTCAGCAACCAGAAGGAAGCCAGAGAACACATGCTGCCTATTCAATAAAGTTGGTGCTGCACTTTATACAGCACCCAGTGCATTATTCTGTGGTGAAAACAAACCCTATTCTTCTCTGCCAGATAAACACACTTTATCCTATAAAAAGCAGCATTTCTGACTGTTCAGCAGCAGCCAAGCTCACGATGGGAAAAATAACAGGTGTTTGTAAGGCACTCCCTGTTTATTCACAGTGCTTAAAATAATTGCTTAAAAAAATCCAACAGAGATTTAATTTTCTATGCTCCCACATTTAAAAAAAAAACAAAAGAAAAAAAAAACAAACTCTGAACTTGGCTCATGGTAGTTGAAGGCAATTCATTATGAAAGGGGTGTTCTTTATGTTGTGGTAGCAAAGAAACCTACTTATGAAAGCTCCAGAGGAGCAGAATAGTAGAGCAAATTCCTGCCTAGAACGAACACTTCCCTGTGCTTTTTGTAAGCTCTCCAGGTGGAAGCTTTTGTTATCAAAGCATGTAATTTTATTGTCAAATTCGGATGAGCAGGGATTAAACTCCTCCAGTGGGTGCCCATCATTGGCCATCTCCATCACTCTGCCTTTTAGAAAGCAACAATAGCCTTGGGCTGGCTTATGCCCTTCCCTCTTGCTCTGGTGGTGGAGCAGGAGATAAGTGCTCGGCCCCAGGGAGGAAAGTATGTCTCAAAGGCACAAACCTTGCTTCAATCACTGCTTGCTTCTCCGGGAAGTAACTGGCAGTGAATCCTGATCAATAGACCACTTTCCAGCGCAATGGGCTGACACATGGTGCTGGGGGAAGAGGACAGAGACTCGGTGTCTCCATCCACTGTCTCCATGCTTGCATCCCTGAGCCCCTCAGGGGGTGAGGGGACACTCAACAGCTGACAAAGCTGCATGGCATCTCAGTGCATGGCTGCTGCAGGAATTTGGTCCTAGGAGACCTTGTGGTGAGTCCCTGCAGGACTCACTCGAGAATACAGCATCATTCCTGAGAGCTACAAGCTTCATGAGGCAATGACTTTTCCTTCTTACAGGTATGGCTTTCCTTGAGTGTGGCTCTCTGCAAGCTGTTGGGATGAGTCACAGATCCTCGGTAGCTCCCTTGGAACCTTGAGAGGACCTGGAGAAATAGGTGTTCACCTAGCAACAATCAAGTGCTTTCCCAACCCCCAGCTGCTCTCCTGGTGGCTCCTGGGCTGCCAGCCAGGTCATAGGTGGATGTAGGCACAGCTTACCCCCTTGTCTCTAGCATGGGGCTGAGACCCCCAGTGCAGTTGTCCCAGTGCTGGGAATAAAACACAGCCACATTTCGGTCTTTGCTGTCCCCACAAAGGTGCAGGAGTGGCCACAGAACCCAAACTTCCCTGGGAGGGCTAACTTGTCTCCAAACAGTGGACATGAGAGACATACCAGATGTGGCTGGTGCAGATGAGGGACAGAGCAGGGACATGGCTCACAACTTTGCAGTTATTATCCATGTTACGGCAGTGTTCCCAGATGAGACCAGGCTCTCATGGTACCGTCAGGCTTGTCACACACAGCAGCCTCTGGCCAGAGCAAAAAAAAGACAGATGAAAGTCATAAAGAGAAACAGAGGCATGGGGGAGAGCAGTAATTTCCTGGGGGTCAGGCAAGAGAGCGGTGGTTGCTACCAGCATGGTGTGGGTCAACGTGGGGCTCAGCGAGGCACCCACTGCCACACGAGATGCAGCAGCAACACAGGGGCTCCTCGGAGAGCAATTTGGATGAGACACTGACCACAGGCTTCAGAAGGGCATTCCGACAGGCACAGAGGAGAAGATGAAAGGAGGCGGCTGCAGTGCGTGGCAGGGCAAGATGAAAGAAGTTTGGAGGCCATAGGAGCAGAGAGAAGGGACTGACTTGACAAGCAAAGCCAGAGGCAGCGAAAGCTGCTGTGCACAGAGCGGCTGTGGGGTTGGACAAAAAGTAGCACTGCAGCAAAGGCACGGGGGCTGAGAGGGCAGCCAGCATGATCAAACCCATCCTGAGCCCAGCAAGACTGAGGTTGTCTGAGCAACAAAGGATCTCACACTGCTCGAATGTCATCCATCAGAGGCCTGAGGGGCAAGGCAGGGCTTTATGCACACAAATGAAATGCAACCAAGTCCTGAGTAGCTGGTGCATTGGTCTGAGCAAAAAGCATGGAGATGGGAAGAACAGAACAGAACAGAACAGAATAGAATAGAACAGAACAGAACAGAACAGAGTAGGTTGGAAAGGGCTGCTAATATCGAGTCCAACCTAACACTGCCAGGTCCACCACTAAACTGTGTCTGTAAACACCGTATTTATAAATTTTTTGATCACTTCCAGGGATAGCGATTCCACCACTTTGACAGGTAACCTGTTCCAACGCTTGACAACACTTTCAGTGAAGAAGTTTTTCCTGCTATCCAATCTAAATCTTCCCTGGCACAACTTGAAGACATTTCCTCATGACCTATCACTTGTCAGGTGGGAGAAAAGACCAACCCCCACCTGTCTACAACCTCCAGTAGTTGTAGAGAATGATAAGGTCCTCCAAGCCTCCTTTTCTCCAGACTAAACAACCCCAGCTCTCTCAACTGCTCCTCATAAGACTTGTGCTCCAATAAGCCAAGTATGGCTCTAAACAGCAAGAAGCAGCAAATGCCCTTTCTTGGGTCTTAGAGAGAAAATCAAAAAGCAAAGCTTATCCTTTTGCCTTGGTGCCAGTCAGGCACCAAAACCCATGAAACTTTATCTGAGACAGTAAAACCCACACAAAGAAGTGGCATTTTCAAGGCACCCAGTGCCTTTTCAGCATCTGCCCGTTATATATATCTGTCAGCATGCCCCTGAAGCAGATGTACATGCCTGA